AAAAGAAAATGTCACTTTTGCTTGTCAGCAACAAGATGGGTTACCCAGATGAGCGAGGGTATAGTCTTTTGTCTGTAAATGCTGCCTGTCTTGCTCCCTTGCCTTTTTGGTATACGTTATATCCCTACCTATATGTGATATTTATCAGCCTGTGCCTGAGCCTGATGAGGCTAATGGAAACTTAGCTGTAGAGTTGGCTGGCAGCAGGAGCACAACAGACTGGAAGCTCCTCTGGACATAGATCTGGCTCGAAGTGTTTTCTGTAAGGTTTCTAGCACATTCATGGGTTCTATAAAGTAATATATTATGATAACAATAGATTTGGAGACCTGTACAGGGGCTTACCCAATGTGCTGTTTGATCAGCTCATCAGCTGTCCTGATGGTGAGGATTACAAATAAGAACATGTGTCAAACCAGAATGAAAAGAGGAGTGTGGCTCATCTTTGGAATCCTGGTAAATGTCTTTATGACAATTATTGAAAACTCTGTTAAAAACATTTACCACTGCTACAAATAATTTCCGGCCTCTCTTGGGAAAATGATATTTACCAACAAAATTGACCTGATTACAAGAACTTCCATTAAAAAATACAAAAGAAAAACAAACAAAAAATGATATGGAAGATTACCGTGCAACTTTTCTGAAGTGTATTTTTAGCTCTGTATGACAGCAGTTGGTTTAGCACCGTACTTAGGATCTGGTTACCAAAGTCAGTGATGATTACAGTACTTCTCTAGTTTTCTCAGTAACAAAACCTAAAGTGTGCAAGTAAACTGAATTCTTCCTATATGCAATAATATGCACCATAAATGTGATTTATTTAAATTAAAGAATCAATATATTTGGCAGTTCCAACGGCTGATCATCTAGTATGATTCAATGTAAAGTTTAACAAAGTACTACATTCTCATTATCCAATTCACAAAGACAGATTTGGTTTTAAAATATGCCTGAAACATATTACAGATAATATCCCAGATGATTATTATGTAAACATTGCCATTACAGTGAAATTAAACTGATATGAGCGTCACTGCACATTTTCAACATCTGTACACAGAGGACTATTTAATTTGTCCAGTATTTGTGCAGGGTTTTAAATGAAGCATACAAAATCTACATTGTTCTACCTTCTTGTCATGAGGATCCATCTGTTTCCAATTATTGGCCTTTAACTGATGAAGTTCATCAAATTTCATACTAATATTTTCTATGGATAACTGGAGCATATCCCAAAACCCTGCTAAATCCTGGGAGGTCGGTCTTGGATGTGCATTAGGATTCTGTACAATAGAAGAAAAAATATTTTGGCTTTAGTATCTTTTAATGTAAAGCATTTGTACAAATATCTATGCACGGCACCAGCAAAGCACTTTACTTAGATTCAATTAATCAATGAGATACTTTGAAAAAGTTAACAGAAACAAGAAAGCACGCTCCTTATTAATATTTTTACTTATAAAGATTTAGGGCTAAATTCTGATAGGTGTGTCCCAGAAAACCTGTGCTTTCCCCTGAAGTCAGTGGCTTCAATTTGCTTTACCAACGTCCTTCTGTAACAGGAGCCACAAAGAGACATTCTTCAGCACAGCCAAGGGGTCTATCATGGATGAAATCCTGCAATGAAATCAATGGCAAGACTCCCGTTGACTTCACTAGTATCAGGATTTCATTCCATGTTTCTGCATGTGCATCTACTGATTCAACTGGGCATTAATTTACATTTGTACAGAGCTTCAAAAATATTAAGGACTATGAAAATAATACATTTTAAATAAAAATGTATGTAATACACAACTCCCTGGACAAATTATTCATGTTCCCGGCAAGAATAATCTTTGCAGAGGTAAGCATATGAGGAGTATGAATGCACACTAACTTTACTTTTGCAGGGCACTCTTTTGGGGAGAGTTATATGCTTAACCAGAATCTGCAGTTAAATTTTTTCTTCTGCCACTGGGTTGCAAGATTTTAATGCTACACATTGTTCTGGTGACATCTGTCTAAAGAATCTCTTTAAATGCGCTCAATAAGATATTGGATATACAGGCAGTCCCCGGGTTACGTACAAAATAGGGACAGTAGGTTTGTTCTTAAGTTGAATCTGTATGTAAGTCAGAACTGGCGTCCAGATTCAGCCGGTTGAAACTGATCAGTTTCAGCAGTGGCTGACGCCAGTTCCGACTTACATACAGATTCAACTTAAGAACAAACCTACTGTCCCTATTTTGTACGTAACCCGGGGACTGCCTGTATATCCAATATCTTATTGAGCGCATTTAAAGAGATTCTTTAGACAGATGTCACCAGAACAATGTGTAGCATTAAAATCTTGCAACCCAGTGGCAGAAGAAAAAATTTAACTGCAGATTCTGGTTAAGCATATAACTCTCCCCAAAAGAGTGCCCTGCAAAAGTAAAGTTAGTGTGCATTCATACTCCTCATATGCTTACCTCTGCAAAGATTATTCTTGCCGGGAACATGAATAATTTGTCCAGGGAGTTGTGTATTACATACATTTTTATTTAAAATGTATTATTTTCATAGTCCTTAATATTTTTGAAGCTCTGTACAAATGTAAATTAATGCCCAGTTGAATCAGTAGATGCACATGCAGAAACATGGAATGAAATCCTGATACTAGTGAAGTCAACGGGAGTCTTGCCATTGATTTCATTGCAGGATTTCATCCATGATAGACCCCTTGGCTGTGCTGAAGAATGTCTCTTTGTGGCTCCTGTTACAGAAGGACGTTGGTAAAGCAAATTGAAGCCACTGACTTCAGGGGAAAGCACAGGTTTTCTGGGACACACCTATCAGAATTTAGCCCTAAATCTTTATAAGTAAAAATATTAATAAGGAGCGTGCTTTCTTGTTTCTGTTAACTTTTTCAAAGTATCTCATTGATTAATTGAATCTAAGTAAAGTGCTTTGCTGGTGCCGTGCATAGATATTTGTACAAATGCTTTACATTAAAAGATACTAAAGCCAAAATATTTTTTCTTCTATTGTACAGAATCCTAATGCACATCGGCTTTGCTCCCCGTCTCCCTGCAGACCAGGGAGACGGGGAGCAGCTTTTCTCGCCCCGGAGGACGGGGGTGGCGGACCGCGGTGCATCTGGGCGTCCCGCCGCTCCTGTCCTCCGGGGAGAGAAAAGCCCCGTTTGTAACTGCGGATCCGACATAAGTCGGATCCGCGTAACTCAGGGACTGCCTGTACGTACTGGCTTACAGTTTGATTTTTCAGAAGTGCCAAACACCTAAAATTCCACTTGAGGTAATGGGATCTATGGGTGCTAAACGCCTCTTCAAATCAGACCTGTCTCTGCAGTCTACACTTCTATGTGATAGCTGGCTCAATTGAGATTATGATTTTATGTTATATTATGTTAACACTTTATTTCTCCAGTAAAAAAATTAGGGTAATCTAGACTGCAAGCCTATTTCGGAACGCTGGACGTATCATGAAATAGCTACCCTGCATCCAAGGAACGAGTCTGCTATTTCAAAATAATTTTCAAAATAACTGATGCACTAATCCTCATTGAATGAAGAATAAGGGATGTCTCGAAATAGTGCTTTATTTCAAAATTTGGCACCACGTAGATGCCAAATTTCGAAATAGCCTATTTCGAAATAAAATTGAAAGAAGATGCAAATTGTGTATCTTATTTCAATTTTAGAGTGCAGTCTAGACATACCCTAAGTGTTGGTTATGAAACTGTGTCTCTTAAGAAACATCTTCTACTGCATGTTTCATAACATCAGAGAGAAATGATTTTAAAAGGAATCAAATTTGGGATCAAAGAAGCCACTCTTCTACTTGGAAAGGATCTACCAGTAGGTTATAACAGGATTCTAAGCTCTTGAGCACTGATATTATTGGGTAGTCGAACTGAAACAGTAACTTTAACATACACAGATACAAGAACAAAATACTTTTCTCATTCTTCATGTTAATAAGTGATGGGCTTCACCACGGAGATCAGGGGTTTCTGTTGCATCTGGCAGTTTAGGCATATTTCTAATTTAGGTCCTGATCCGCTGAAGTGGTGCTTCACCTCCCTTTGCCTTCCATGAAACCCTAAGGCCATTAACACTTCACCACAGGACTGAGGATTACAAAGTAGATTTCGATATGGAGCTTTTACAATTATATGCTTTTCATTAAGGTCCCGATTCAGCTCTCCTTGAGAGACTCCCAATAGTTTGAATGAGAACTGGGTCAATTGCTGAAAACAAATGTCACATTACATGTCACTCACTGACCCATAATGTCAACTTGGCATAGTCAGGGCTGGATTAAGGGGGGGCTAGCCGGGCAGCTGCCTGGGACGCCAAACTATGGGGGGGTGCCTTATGGCAGCTGTAAGGGGTGCTGCGCGCCCTTTAGAGCTGCAGTCCGGTGCCACGCACCCGATTGCAGCTGTAAGGTGAGCAGCATGCCAGGGGGTGGGGACACGCATGTGCCGTGCGCCCGAGGGAGGAGCCGTGCATACGTCACGTGCCCACTTCCTAGGGCACAGGATTGTCTCGAGCCGGCCCTGGCCATAGTCTAAAATGTGTTTTGGTAACAATGAAAAACAAAATAATTTTATCTGTAATTTGGAAAATAGTTCTTCTTATCTCAGCCTGATTGGATGTTGTAAGAAGAGAACTTACTAACAGGATGGTTCACAAACAGGAAGGAGAGCCATGAGTTCTGTGTTCCATTCTCTGCTCTCTCCTGAACCATTCTGAGCTTTAGAAGCCTCATGAGTAAATTGGGGATAATAGTGCTTTATCTACTCAGCAATGGTAAATCATTAAACATTTGATAACAGAGGGCTCTTTGATTTAGCAGAGAAAGGTATAAGAAGACCCAGTAGAAGTTGAAGCTAAATAAATTCAGACTAAAAATAAGAAGCAATTTGTACATGTGAGAGCAATTAGCTACTGGAATAACTCACCAAGAGTGGGGCTGGGTTCTCAATTGCTAGAAATTTTAAAATCAAGATTGGCTGTTTTTCTAAAAGATCTGCTGTAGCTGAAAGAGGAATTAATTCAGGGAAGTTCTATGGGATGTTAATACTGGAAGGTCATACTACATGATGACAGTGGTCCCTTCTGGCCTTAACATCTATGAATTAGTTAAAAACATGGTTTGAAATCTTGGATAAATGAAAAATATTATCGTTTTAGGTATACAGTCTACAATGTGCTACATATTATTCAGAATAGGCATGACAAACTGATTCTGAGAAAATAAGACATTTCTTATATCTCTTTGGAGATTTGGAAGAGTTTGATTAGCTTCAATTACTCATTATTTTTCATTTTTGCGAAGTGCCATACTTCCTTGATTTAGAGGCAGATCAGCCAAAATTCCACAGTTGATATTGTTTCAAACTACACCCGTCCAACTGAAAGGAGGTAGCACTGGGAATCCCATGAGAAAGTGTGTAATTCCACAAGATTTCCAATCCAATTCTAAAGAGTCAAGAGATTCACTCAGTTTTGAATAACATATGGGTGCTTATATGAACAGAATCCAAATACTGGCAAAGCTTCCACTAAATTTCATCCAAAACCTTTTTAGTTTCTTTCTTTTTAAATAATTATGGACCTCATACTGATTTCCCACTGGGTGTATAAACTGGTGTAACTCCGTTAAGTACAAAGGATTGGAGGAAACTACATTGGTTGGAGGAATCAAGCACTTTATTAGAATAAATTGCAGATACTATAATCTAGAAAAACTTTATGCAATTTAAGGCATATTGACTCACAGAGTAAATTCTAATCTAATCTATAACAAACATTACATACCAGATTTTCTTCACACAGTTCTCTGAACTGGTAAAATTTCTGGGCCATAAGAAGCTGGGCACTGCCCACTGCAGTTCGAATTTTCCCTAGAACTGACAGGAAAGCAAACGTAAGTCAGCAATGGTAAATACTATGCCTTTCTGCAGCGATTGAACCAAATGCCCCAGTGAGGAAGTTATGAAGTAGACACATCAGTCATTGTTATGAATGTTACCTCTGACTCATGCATTCTAGAGCAGCTGATAACAGTAAGTCTAGGTGGTCATTAAAAAAAATTTGCCAGACTAGTTACACAAAAAAAGCGCTTTTGTTGGTTTAGCTTATACTGGATCCCGAAATGAAAACAGTGGTGTACAGCAGGGGTGAGCAATAAGCGGCCCGCTGGTTGGAGGTGATTCACCAAGGTTAGTCCCTGGCGGGCTGCCAGTGCTTCTTGCAGCTCCCGTTGCCTGTGGGTGGCTTTTCGCAGCTGCAGGAAGCAGTATCTCAGTCCAATCCACTTTCCACAGCTCCTGTGGCCAATGGGAGCTGTAAGCGGCCATACCTGCTTCTGCTACGTGGCTATAGGACAAGTATTGGCTCTTGTGACCAGCCTGGGAGCAGAGAGGTGTAGAGTGAAAGGTCTCTGAGCTCCTGAAGCTTATGTTGGTCAGTTCTGGTCTGTGTTATTTGGTGAGTGTTTTGTTTGAATTAATAAACTGGTCAAACACACTTCTGTGCTGGTACAACCACTTCAACACTATAGCTTTTGCTGATATAGAACTGTTGTGAAAAATCACCCTCTTTGCTGTCCCTGTTAACACCTGCCAAAGTTCCTAGTGAAGACCTGGCCTCAGATGCAGAAAGGTTATGAGCTTTCCAAAAGTGTTGCAAATGTGGAACTACTCATGTACCATATTGGGGAAATATAGCCTCTACCAATACCTCTGCTCCTTCCCTGTGGAACACAGGGCCCAGTTCTTAGGTCTGGCTAACTACTAGCTGGTGTTGGTCCCAGGAAGAGGACCTCCAATCTGATCCTAGGGACAGCAGGAGGCTTTTGGAGTCACCACTGCAACTTTTGCTGCTCTCAGTTGTTCCCAGCCACTGATGGCCCTAACTGGCTACTTCAGTAGCCAACACTCACCAGAGCGTATGGTGCTCCAGCCATGTCATGTTTCCCCCAGTTGCATCCACTACACTGGTTCCCTGAGGAAGTTAGCAAAGGGACACTTTGGCAACTTTGCACTTCTTGGTGATTTTCCCACACTGGTCTGGTTTTGTGGTCTCTTTGTCCCATCACAGTGGCACAATGAGTTATAGTAGACTGGAGACTCTGGCCTATATTATTTGGTTTTACAATAGTCTGGATGGACTTAAGTTAGTGAAAGAAATGAAAAAAAATCTACATTGATTCAAACCATTATTACCGTAATAGCAATGCTTGCAGGACAACAAAGATAGGGCCCCATTGTACTAAGCAGTATATAAGCAAACACAGAGACAGTTTCTGAAGAGTTTAGGGTATGTCTACACTACCCTGCTAGTTCGAACTAGCGGGGGTAATGTAGTCATCTGCACTTGCAAATGAAGCCCGGGATTTGAATTTCCCGGGCTTCATTTGCATGAAGCCGGCCGGTGCCATTTTTAAATGCCGGCTAGTTCGGACTCCGTGCCGCGCGGCTACACGCGGCACGGACTAGCTAATTCGGATTAGGCTTCTAATCCGAACTAGCTGTACGCCTTGTGGAATGAAGTGTACAGCTAGTTTGGATTAGAAGCCTAATTCGAACTAGCTAGTCCGTGCCGCGTGTAGCCGCGCGGCACGGGGTCCAAACTAGCCGGCATTTAAAAATGGCATTGGCCAGCTTCATGCAAATGAAGCCTGGGAAATTCAAATCCCGGGCTTCATTTGCAACTGCGGATGACTACATTACCCCCGCTAGTTCAAACTAGCGGGGTAGTGTAGACATACCCTTATAGTCTTACACAAAACAGAGTGTGAAGTGAAGCATGGAGAATATAGGGTATTCAGGTGTCCGGTTTTGAACCGGACAGTCCACAGTATTTGAGCTTTCTGTTAGGGAAACAAATTGAGAAAATTTAATGAGAAAATAGAAATGTCCAGTATTTTCTAAATAAGATGTAATGTAGATTGTGATGTAATGTCAAGGGTGTCCAGTATTTTTGTTGAGTCCATCTGGCAACCCTACGGGTATGTCTACACTAGCCCCCTAGTTCGAACTAGGGAGGCTAATGAGGGGGACAAAAATTGCAAATGAAGCGCGGGATTTAAATATCTTGTGCTTCATTAGCATGTTTCCAGGCGGTCGCCATTTTTGGAAATTGACTAACCCGGAATAACTGCCCGTGTCTACACGCGGCAGTAAAACGGGAGTTCGAAGTAAAGCCCTTAATTCGAATTAGCTGTTAAACCTCATTCCAGGAGGAATAACAGCTAATTCGAGTTAGGGCTTTACTTGGAACTCCCGTTTCACTGCCGCGTGTAGATGCGGGCAGTTATTCCGGGCTAGTCAATTTCCATAATGACGACTGCCCGGGAACATGCTAATGAAGTGCGGGATATTTAAATCCCGCGCTTCATTTGCAATTTTGGTCGCCCTCATTAACCTCCCTAGTTCGAACTAGGGGGCTAGTGTAGACATACCCTAGGAGAAGAACAGAGGCACAGATGGATGACTTGCTCAAGTCACCTGGCAGTTCAGTGGCAGAACCCTTAACTGATGTCACTTCTCCTGACTTCCAAGTCGGTGCCCTGTCTATGGACCACATTAAACCCCAATAAATTCAAACACAGTGTTGAGGAGAGCTCAGTGGTACAAATGCCTTCCACACTCAATCCTCTCAGCACAGTGCCGACTTTATAGTTTCCTACTAAAGCATTACCACAAAATCACTGTAAACTGAAGAACCCTTCATAGTATTCACAAATGCACAGAATAACCAAGCAAGTAGGGAGAAAACTAAATTAAGAACTGAAGTAGGTTTAATTGAAGCTAGGTATACAATCACAGTTTCGTGTTTTACCTTTTTAAGGCTGGCTAACATACTAAGGATGTTAAAATGCAGTTAATTGACTAGTCAACTAGTCGATGGAATTTCCATCGGCTAGTAGACTAGTTGATAGGCACTTCCACATTCCTCCTTTGAAATGTACAAGAGCCCTCTTGTACATTTCAAAGGAGGAATGCGGAACTCTGCCTACAGTCTAGGGCCAGTGGGAAGTTCTGCTGACTCCGGGATGCATGCGGGTGCCTGCTTTGAAATGCACAAGAGTCCCCAGTGGGGGTACTTGTGTATTTCAAAGCCATGGAGCCTAGGGTCAGTGGGGGACTCTCTCAGTTCCCCGTTGAACCCGAGCTCCATGCTACGCTGCATGCCGATAGGAGCCTAGGGTCAGCTCCCAAATGCCCCCAAAGTGTGGAAGGCATTTCCCCCACTGAGCTCTCCTCAACACTGTGTTTGAATTTATTGGGGTTTAGCATGGTCCGCAGACATGGCAGGAAGTCAGGAGAAGTGGCATCAGTTCAGCTGACCCCAGGCTCCACAGCAGCTGCCCCTTTGAAATGAGTAGATGCGGTGTTTTAAAGGGGCAGCCCACCACGCAGCTGAGCCACGGACTCCCAGTTGATCCCGGGCTCCCGGTGGCATTTCCCAGGAACCTGGGATCAGCTGGGAAGTTCCCAGCTGACCCTAGGTTCCACGCAGCGCTTCCCTGGAACCTGTGGTCAGCTGGGGACTCTGCAGATAAGCTGTGCAGTGGCTGGGTTTCAAAGTACCCCTTCCCCCCCGGGGGGGATATCAACTAGTCATAAGACTATCCAATAAGCAAATGCTTATCGGATAGTTGACTAATCGACTAGTCTTTAACATCCTTATAATATACCACAACAATTTAGCTGGCTGAAGTAAAGTTGGACTTAGAATACACAGTAGATGTTCACAGAAGAAGGGTAAAATGGTCAAAGGGGGGAGCCTTTTTATGATTCTTCCTTCAGAGCCCACAGAAAAGAAAAGAACTCTATCCACATACAAGCACAGTTGAAGCCTTTCATTTTGCTCCCAGAGCTCAGCCCTATTAGGAAATAGCTGTGAACTAGAAGATTCACTAAGCAGAATATTTTCAGCACGTTGCACTGAGAATTCTACAACTGACATTATTGTTAGTAAGGGTTGCGTGTCTAATTCCCTGTGCTCTGTGCTGCAAATGCACCCCTTGGAGTGTCTAGTCATTTATGCAACCCAGTGTGCAAATCACTCAACTGAAAGGAATCTTCAATGGTGGGGAGGAGCTACTTTGAGAGCTTTCATGTGTTTCCCATTGTTATGAAAACTCTTCCCACTGTGTATATTTCAGAACAGCTGCCTCATCTGGACCTTGGCCATCTGATACTTCACAACACAGCTTAGGAGTTGAAAATGGTCCCTCGTCTTTTCAGTACAAAGTTAAGATAGAATTAAAATGAAATGTACATTGATTGCACAGAGGTCACATTGAGAGGCTGTTTATAAGTGAATTTAAATTACACTTTTTGGTGAGAGATGGGGATGCACCTCTTAATAAGTTTAATATTCTATAGATAGAACTGGAGGAGAAATAAGTGCTTAACCCTGGCTGCCTACGACTGGCTACTTGTTTAAAACCTGTCACCCCAGCTGATTGTGAGATGCATGCTGATATTGTTCTCCATTGTTACCACTTCTGCTGTTGCTCCTGCTGTTGTATCTAGTCAAGTGTCACTGATTTCCCCACCCCTTAAAAACAAGCAGTCCATTAATGTGCATATTACCAGTCAACAGGACAAATAAAGCATGTGAAAGACTGAAAGGAATCTCTCCAGAAGGCAAACAGTCTTTTCAATAGCTAAATACTGCTTTATAATACTTGTTGCTTTTAGTTTATAAGGCAGCATACCCATTTCTCTGAGTCAAAATCTCTAGTGTCCGAAATGGACGGGCTAAGATGTACAATAGTAACAGAAATAAAAATAGGTGGATGCACTTATTTCTGGCTAAAATCCTGAGAGGCTCCATTCTTGGACACAAGTTTGAGGGACAAATACTGAGTGAATAAGGAAAAGTGACAATATAG